GATTTTGTGATATGAAATATACAAAGAGATGGATGTTTCATGTTTGAATATATTGTGTTTCATGTAAAAATGATGTGTATTGTTAATATGTCATAGTTTGATGTATATGATGAAAAGTATGTGGAAATATGATAAAAAATATGTGTGAACATGAGAAATGGCATATGTGAACATGTGAATATACTCGAAAGAGTATGAGATGGAAAAAGATATGATGTAAATAGTTACAGAGATACACTGGGAAAATGGAAGATGGAGATGATATGAGATATCTTGGGGAAATGCAGGGTGGTGAGAGATATTCGGGATTGTGCACGGAATATTATGTACGAATGCACCATATGGCCACACACTCGTTTCCCGACTTGACTCCTGACCATTACCTTTGCTAAGGGGCCGTCTATTGCATGCGTTGTATCCGTATTGCATTGGGCCATCCGACGACTATTTACATGGATGTGTAAGACCTCAAAATAGAGGCATCGGATAACTGTGGCCACAGGGCGCGGTAAGCGCGGATAAAAGTAAAAGAAATTGTGAATCTGTGTAATGTAATACGCGTTGAGATGAGAATATGCTTTATATGACACTGTGATATGTAATGCTATGATGTTTTCTTTAATCGTGATAAGATGTGTTTTGTGAAGAATGTATATGTTATGTATGAGTGGTAGGGTAGAGACTCACCCTTACACAATATTTTCAGGAAACCAGGATGAATAGTACTAGGCTCACAGTGCATGGAAGGATGAGAACTGCTATAGGACTTAGTTATTTTAAGTTATGTAATGAATATTTTCAGTTCTATAGCATTCTTTTGAAACAGTTGTAAAATTACTATTTCTGTTTGTTGCTGATAAAAACTTTAGAATCTTTGTTTTTTCTAAAGTACTTATGAATTAATGAAATTGTACTTAATGAAACATATATCATTTCAGTGTTTCTTTCTCATTAGAGAGATTTTGAAGAAAAATTTATTTTACTATTTAAATTTTTATGAAAATTTATCATATATTGAGGAAAGAAATATAAGGCGTTACAATTTTGGTATCAGAGCAATTCATCCAGACCAGACTGAGGTATGGGACTAACATGTCTATGTTGTGTAATAGATATACTAGAATATGAAATGATTATTTGCTAATATGACTTGTTAGATGTGAATTACCTAAACTAGATGTATCTATGTGTATGTGAATGATAGATTAATAAGTGATCTGGGTTTATTGCAAGATTAGAGCTATGGCTGGTAGAGGTAGACCTGCTGGTGCTACAAATGAACTCTAGAGCGCATGACCCAAGTCTTAGAGACTTTGGCACATAACCAGGAGGCTAAACCAGCTGAGTATAGAGGACTTTCTTCGTTTACTAGGCATAACCCTCCAAAATTTGAGGGAAAGTTTTATCCTGAGGGAGCTCAGAGGTGGATAATAGACGTGGAGAAGATTTTCCATGCCATGGGATGTAGAGAGGAGCATAAAGTAACTTATGCTACTTATATGCTGAGTGGAGAAGCTGAGAACTGGTGGAGATTTGCTAGTCAAAATCTACTGCAAGAAGATGGTTATATTCCTTGGGAGACATTCAAGGCAACCTTCCTGGGAAATTATTTCCCTAGAGATTTAAAGAAACAGAAGGCTAGGGAGTTCCTTGAGTTGAAACAAGGAAACATGTCTGTAGGTGAATATGCTGCTAAATTTCATGAATTGACGAAATACTGGCCTCATTATCAACATAATGATGGAGAGGAAGATCTATGTGCTCAACTTGAACATGGGCTTAGGCCAGATATTCGAGCTGCTGTTAGTGTATTCCAGCTGACAGATTTACCCACTCTAGTGAGTAAATGCAGAATATTTGAAGCTAATACTAAGGGTAAGACGGTGGATACCAGAATCGGTGGTCCTGTGAGGCAAGACCGAAGGCCTCCAAGATTTTCTAGAAGACCTTACTCTAGTCCAAATCAGTCTCAAGTGAAGGGGACTGTATCTCAAGAAGATAGTAGTGGTGGTTCAGGTTCTTTCAGAAGGCCACTAAAATGTTTCAAGTGTGGTGGACCTCATATTAAAAGGAATTGTCCTCAACTTTGACCAACATGTGACATTTGTGGGAAAATGGGACACTCTGCTAGTGTCTGTTGGTCTGCTCCACAAAAGAGCGGAAGCATGAATGTGGAACAAAGACCTAAATCTAGAGCAAGCACTGGAACAAAGCCAAATGTGAAAGGAAAAGTTTTTGCTATGAGTGGAGCCGAGGTTTCAAAATCAGAGGAGCTTATTAGAGGTAAATGTATCATAAAAGACCGACTTGTATATGTGTTGTTTGATTCTGGTGCTACTCATTCCTTTATTTATGTGGATTGTATGAGATGTCTAGAATTACCTGTATCTGAATTGTCTTGTGATGTTATTGTATCTACTCCTACGGGTAAGCCCGTAGCAACTTCTTCTGTGTGTTTAGGTTGTCCTGTGATGGTACATGGTAGGAGTTTTAGTATAGATTTGATTTGTTTACCTCTTTCCCAACTTGATGTAATTTTGGGAATGGATTGGTTGTCATCCAACCATGTTCTATTGGATTGTAAAGAGAAAGTCTTGATTTTTGGCACTAAAGTATCAGAAAGTGCTAAACTCTTAGGTCCAAATCCATTGGAAAATGTAATGAGTGCTAAGGCTTTCATGGTTCTATTTTCAATTGAGACTGAAAAGGAAATGAAGCCTAAGTATATCCCAGTGGTTAGAGATTTTTTAGAAGTTTTCCCTTATGATGTTACTAAATTGCCACCGGAAAGAGAGATTGAGTTTACTATTGATCTCATTCCGGGAGCAAATCCTATTTCTGTTGCACCATATAGGATGTCACCAGTGGAGTTGGCTGAGGTAAAGAAACAGGTAGAAGAATTATTGCAGAAAAGGTTTATAAGGCCAAGTGTGTCACCTTGGGGAGCACCTGTTCTTTTGGTGAAAAAGAAAGATGAGAGCATGAGGATGTGTGTTGATTATAGACAATTAAATAAGGTAACAATAAAGAACAAGTATCCTATTCCTCGAATTGATGACTTGATGGATCAGTTACGAGGAGCTTCCATATTTTCAAAGATTGATTTGCGATCTGGTTATCATCATATCAGAGTTAAGAGTGAGGATATCCCCAAGACAGCATTTAGAACCCGTTATGGCCACTATGAGTATCTAGTTATGCCATTTGGAGTGACTAATGCTCCTGCAGTATTCATGGACTACATGAATAGAATTTTTCATGAGTTTTTGGATAAATTTGTTGTAGTATTTATAGATGATATTCTAATTTATTCCAAGACTCATGAAGAACATGCAGAACACTTGAGAATTGTTTTGCAGATACTAAGAGAAAGACAGTTATATGCAAAATTCTCTAAGTGTGAATTTTGGTTACCACAAATCCAATTTTTGGGACACGTGGTATCAAAAGATGGCATTATGGTGGATCCAGTAAAGGTGGAGGCAGTGGCTCAATGGCCAAGGCCTACTAATCCCACAGAAATTCGCAGTTTTCTGGGACTAGCTGGCTATTATAGGAAATTCATTGAAGGATTTTCTAAAATAGCTTTTCCTTTGACAAAGTTAACAAGAAAAGGAAAGTAGTTTGTGTGGAATGAAGAGTGTGAAGCTAGTTTCCAAAAGCTGAAAGAAAAGTTAACATCTGCCCCTGTCTTAGTTTTGCCTAATCCAGAACAGAAGTTTGATATGTATTGTGATGCATCTGGGCAAGGGCTTGGTTGTGTCTTGATGCAGGATGGAAGGGTAGTTGCTTATGCTTCGAGGCAGTTGCATCCTCATGAAGTTAATTATTCTACTCATGACCTAGAATTAGCCACGGTGGTTTTTGCTCTTAAGATATGGAGACATTATCTATTTGGGGCGAGATTTGAGGTATTTAGTGATCACAAGAGTTTGAAGTACTTGTTTGATCAGAAAGAGTTAAATATGAGGCAGAGAAGGTGGATGGAATTTTTGAAGGATTATGATTTTACATTGTCTTATCATCCTGGGAAGGCAAATGTGGTTGTTGATGGTTTAAGTAGGAAGTCCTTGCATATGGCAAGTATGATGGTGAAAGAATTAGAGTTGATTGAAAAGTTTCGAGATATGAATTTGACAGTGGAGGTGCAACCTCAGAGTTTGTATCTTGGGACTTTGATAATTAATAATGATTTCTTGGTTAGGGTTCGTGATGCCCAACAAGAAGATATGTTCTTGTAGGAAACGATGAGGCAGAGGGGTGAAGGAAAGGATTTAGAGTTCCATCGTGATGCAAATGGATTGATTAAGTTCAAGAACCGTGTATGTATTCCTTCCAATGATAAGCTTAAGCAAATGATACTTGAGGAGGCTCATAAAAGCAGAATGAGTTTTCATCCTGGTGCGACAAAAATGTATCAAAATCTTCGTAAGAATTTTTGGTGGAATAGAATGAAGAAGGATGTGGCTGAGTATGTAACAAAGTGTTTAACTTGTCAAAAGGCAAAGGTAGAACATCAACGTTCACCTGGGATGTTGCAGCCATTAGAAATTCCTAAGTGGAAGTGGGATAGTATTTCTATGGATTTTGTGTCTGGTTTGCCAAGAACCAAGAGTAATCATGATGCAATTTGGGTGATAGTAGATAGATTGACTAAAGTAGCTCATTTTCTTTCCATTAATATGAAATACAAGTTGGAGAAGTTAGCAGATATGTATATAAGAGAGATAGTCAGATTGCATGGAGTGCCAACTAGTGTTTTGTCAGACAGAGATCCAAGGTTTACATCAAGATTTTGGGAGAGTCTGCAGAAAGCCTTGGGTACTAAGTTAAAACTTAGTTCAACTTATCATCCACAAACTGATGGTCAGACTGAAAGAACAATACAGTCCTTGGAGGATTTGTTGAGAGCTTGTGTGATCGAACAACAAGGAACTTAGGAGGAATGTCTACCTGTGGTGGAATTCACGTATAATAACAATTATCATGCAAGCATTGGAATGGCTCCATTTGAGGCTCTATATGGAAGGAAGTGTGGAACACCTTTGTGTTGGTATGAAACTGGAGAGACGATCCTATATGCACTAGATATGGTTCAGAAGCAACATGAGCAAATCAAATTGATTAGAGAAAAGATGAAAATAGCACAAGATAGGCAAAGGAGTTACTATGATAAGAGGAGAAAACCAATGAAGTTTCAGGTGATTGATCATATATTTTTGAAAGTTTCACCTGTAACTGGAGTTGGAAGAGCTCTAAAATCTAAGAAGTTATCTCCTAAGTTTATTGGGCCATTTGAAGTGCTAAGTAAAATTGGTCCTGTTGCTTATGAAATTGCTTTGGCTCCAAATCTCTCAAACTTGCATCCTGTATTCCATGTATCTCAACTTAGAATGTATATTCCTGACCCTACTCATGTGATAGAACTTGATCCTGTTCAAGTGAGAGAGAATTTGTCATATGATGTACAACCGGTGAAAATTGTTGATTGCCGTGTTAAGAAATTAAGGGGTAAGGAGATTTCACTTGTTAAAGTAATATGGAATACTAGTGATGAAGGAGATGCCACGTGCAAAGTTGAGAATAAGATCAGAAAATTATATCCTGATCTTTTTGTAACTTAGCGAATTTCGGGGACGAAATTCCTTAAAGGAGAGGAGAATTGTAACATCATATGCTTTGTGTCATGCCTATAGTATATCATTGAGAAAAATTTGTAGTACTTTGTGAGCAAAAAGCAACCGTGTATGTACAGTAGCCCCTGATGTCAACAATGACATCATGCTGATGTCATCGGCGACATCACGCTGACATCATCGCTTATGTCATTGGTGATCTCACGCTGACATCATCGCTTGCATCATGCTGACATCATCGCTTACATCACATTAACGCTGACATCTTCAAAAAAAATTTCTATAAATAGGGGACTTCACATGAAATTTTCATTTCTCCACTCCTACCCAAGGTTCTCGAAGGTTCTAAGGTCATATCTCGCCATTTTCTCCCATACTAAACCTCCTAAACTTAGATTTCTCTTCAGATCTGTGATTCTACATCCGTTCTAAAGGATTTCAAGTAAGTTTCTCTAAGTTTGAAGTTAGATTTACCGTTTGTTTCTCTTCTTCTTCTTTTTCTTATAGATGTTCATGATGTTCTTAGGAAAAACTCCGTTCTAGAGTTAAATCTTCGGTTAAATCCTTGTAAAAGCTCTGTTTTGAGGTAAAGGGGGGTTCTCCTTTATCATTTTGTTATGCTTATTACTCGTATTCCCATAGATCTTGTCATGTATGTGATTATATGTGGAATAATCCTTGTTTTATGAAAAATAATCGATGAAAAGTGAGAATAATTGATTATTTATGTGATTTTATGATGAATACATGGTGAAAATGTGATATTATGTTCAAATAAGGCATGATAAGGTATATTGAGGATGGTTGATATGATTATATGATTTTGTGATATGAAATATACAAAGAGATGGATGTTTCATGTTTGAATATATTGTATTTCATGTAAAAATGATGTGTATTGTTAATATGCCATGGTTTGATGTATATGATGAAAAGTATGTGGAAATATGATGAAAAATATGTGTGAACATGAGAAATGGCATATGTGAACATGTGAATATACTCGAAAGAGTATGAGATGGAAAAATGTAATACGCGTTGAGATGAGAATATGCTTTATATGACACTGTGATATGTAATGCTATGATGTTTTCTTTAATCGTGATAAGATGTGTTTTGTGAAGAATGTATATGTTATGTATGAGTGGTAGGGTGGAGATTCACCCTTACACAATATTTTTAGGAAACCAGGATGAATAGTACCAGGCTCACAGTGCATGGAAGGATGAGAACTGTTATATACTTAGTTATTTTGAGTTATGTAATGAATATTTTCAGTTCTATAGCATTCTTTTGAAACAGTTGTAAAACTACTATTTATGTTTGTTACTGATAAAAACTTTAGAATCTTTGTTTTTTCTAAAGTACTTATGAATTAATGAAATTTTACTCTATGAACCTTATATCATTTCAATGTCTCTTTCTTATTAGAGAGTTTTGAAAGAAAATTTATTTTCCCATTTAAATATTTATGAAAATTTATCATATATTGAGGAAAGAAATATAAGGCGTTACAACCCTCCTTCAATAAATTGTCTAAAAACCTATTAATTTCACACAAACTGATACAAGGAATAATTGAGTTTGCATGATATAATTAAAAATAGTAAGAATACTAGATTGAATAAGAATCACTCTGGCAGCCATGGATAAAGACCTAGTTTTCTAATATGCAAGTTTTTCCTAATTTTATGAGTAAGTCAAACGAAAACTTTTACTGGATCTGAGAAATATTATTTGTATGCCAAGATAGCATTGATTAATAAAAAATATATTATTGATCTTTTTTGACACATTAAAATAAACATTGTTAGAAAAGAAAAAACTTGATTTATTCCTATTAATTTTCTTTTCGAAAGCCTCAAAACTTTTGAAAAACTTGATTAATACTCGTGGCCTAATTCAAAGAGGCTTTAGATATCAACAAAATATATATAATTAATTAAAAAAAGTGTAGAATTTTAGGACTATTATGGCCAAGAGAAAAAGAAATCAAGACTTGACATCTTGGAAAGAACATTGTAGGAGGAAAATTGAGAAAGGAACATCAAGAAACTATACAATTTAGTTAGGAGATTGTCTTAGGTGTCAAAGGAATTTATGACCAAATCTGTTTGTCATTAAAATCAGCATTGATTGACAAATTAGCTGGTAAATAAAATCAGTAAATTGATAGCATACAACAGTTGGACATTAAAAGTCAACAAAGTCTATGCAATTGTATAGCTGTAATTTTGTAACTGTTATTTTCTTTTAAATATTATACCTAACTATAGAATCAATGTATTTATGGCAATTTAGCTAATTTATAGGATATAGTATTTGCTTTTATTATAAAATATAAATATGAGAATTCTCCAATAGGAGAATAGACAACTTTACCGATACATTTCTAAAGTTTAATATGGTATCAGTCTCACAACGATCCTAGACTGAGCTTGCCTAAGTTTTCACTCCTTTTTTTTTCCTCTTAACCTAGTCCTTTTTTCGCATTCATTCCTAGTCCAACTTTAGTTTTGTCTTAGCTTTTCTTCATCTGCACCATGTCTTTTGAAATGTATAAAGTCTTATCGATTCACCTTAATAGTAATGCAAAAGTCTACTGCTGACAAAGACACAAAGAAGGATGAACATGTTGCATAGGAAATAAAAGATGCTCAAGTCATGGCTTGGATAATAGGTTCTATTGATCCAAACGTTGTCCTCAATATACAACCCTTTAAGACTGCAATTACAATGTAGGCCTACCTAAAGAAAATATACAACCAGAACAACAATGCTCAAAGATTCCAACTTGAAAATGACAACTATTTTGCAACAGGATAGTCTTTCTATGTTTGAATTTTACTCTCAATTCAAGAATCTTTAGGCTGACATAGTTTATGAAAATGGGTCTTCTAATGGTCTTAAATCAATACAATTAGTTTATGAAACTACAAAACAAGATCAATTTCTTATGAAATTAAGATATGATTTTGAAGGTGTCAGGTCGAATCTCATTAATAGAGACCCTCTACCTACCTTGGACTCATGCCTCAATGATTTGTTTCATGAAAAACATTGCCTTCTTACATAATCAACCTTGGAACAATAAAAATCCATTGTTGTTTTAGTGGCCTATGTAGCACAAGAAAAACCAAAAGGTTGTGACTTGAGTGTTGTCCAATGTTTCTACAACAAAGGATTTGGACATTACGCCTCAAACTCTCCCAAAAAGTTCTGCAATTATTACAAAAAGGATTGGTATATTTTTAAAGAATGTCCAATGAGACCAGCAAAGAAATCTGCAATAGTTTTTATTGCCTTTGTTGGTTCTTCTGTTTCAAGTGATTTAGCAACAACAATAGCTATCCAACAAACAACTCTTGCCTCTACCCAAACTCTTATTCCTAAAATGGTTCAATAAATTATCATTGTATCTTTTTTTACTTTAGGACTCTTAGGTAAACATTCTTCCACATCTTCTCCTTGGTACTTTGATTCTGGTGCTTCCAATCATATGACCAATAATCCTTAGTTGCTTCATAGTACCACCAAATATTCTAAAAATCTCAAGATTCATACTACTAATGGAAATCATTTGTCTATAATTACCATTGGCTATATTTATTCATCTCTAACTAATGATGTCTTTGTCTCGCTTGACCTCATTACAAATTTAATTTATGTTGGTCAATTAGTTGGCAATCGTGTAGAATTCTCAAAATTTGGTTGTCTTGTGTATGATCAACATTCAAGGAAGATGATCGCAAAAGGGCCTAAAGTTAGACATCTTTTCCCACTTCAATTATCTTTGTCTCTAAGTCTTTACTTGCTTTTGATTTCTTGTAATTATGCTAATATTGATTACCAAGTGTGGCACAAACGTCTTGAACATCCAAACTCAAATGTACTCTATGACATGCTAAAATCTGGTTTTTTTGGAAAGTTGTACCCTTCATGTATTTCAATGTGATTGCATTCCTTGTAAAGTTGGCAAAAAACAATTTCTCTCTTTTCCAAAATGTACATCAAAATGTAGGACATTTTTTCTATATGATCCACAACAATTTATAGACGGTGGCACCTATTATATATCATGCTCATTACAAATACTTTGTCACTTTTATTAATGATTATAGACGTTTCACATTGGTGTATTTATTGCCTTCTAAAGATGAAGTTTTTTTTTTTTGCATTCAAATTCTTTTATGCTTATGTTTAAACTCAATTTTCTTCAAAAATTAAAATTCCACTATCTGATAATTAGGGCGAGTAGACGTCTCATTTATTTCAAGAATTCCTACAAACTAATGGTATCGTATCTCAAATGTCATGCCCTTAACTCTCTAACAAAATGAGGTAGCTGAATGAAAAAACTGTCATTTACTAAATGTTGTTCGCACCCTTTAGTTGAAAGATTTCATGCCATCAAGGTTCTAGTAAGAAACACTCTTCACTGCTGTTCACCTAACAAATCGCTTGTCATCTCTATTATTAAACAATGATTCTCCTTTTACTAGGCTGTTTGGTCACTCACTCAATTATTTCACTCTCTATACCTTTGGTTATGTGTGTTATGTCTATCTCCCTCCATAAGAATGAACTGAACTAAACTTATTGCCCAATCTGTTGAATATGATTTTCTTGGATAATCTTCTCACCAAAAAAGTTTTCTATTTTATGATCCAAATCTTAATTAGATTCTAGTAACTAGAAATGTCATCTTTCAAGAAAATAAATATTTTTTGCTACTTACCATGACTCTCTTCCTTTTCTAATTTCTATTATGCCACTATTTTTGGACTCTTCTATAGGAAAACCTCCATCCGTACCTCTTATAATAGCTTATTTATCTCAAATTCATTTCCAGTAAAATATTTTTGCAATTTAAAAGAGATAATAAAATTTTATTTCAAATAGTTTCAAATGCAGGGTTTCGACAGAGTATTTCAAAATATGGGATAAGTTACAATTTCAATCAAAATAAACGCTACAGGACTTATTTA